TTCAACCTAGCCTGGCTCTCACCAGCACCTCTAGCGGGACTCGAACTCAAATACATTACCATCGAGTTCGAGGTAAGGACGAAATTGCAGCTCAGCCTGGATAAGAAAATCTTTTGGTAAGCAAGGCTAAGTAAAATGTAATGAAAACGTGAATATCTCCTTAAGAGACACCTGGCCAAATCTAAGCCTGGATGATTTACTGATGATTTTGACATCAACAATAAGTAAGTCCGTTATTGGATAATATAATATAGAATATAATGATAATAGACAGTATATATTATCGATATTATAATATAATCTTATAATTTCATCATTTACACTTGATAATATTGGTGAAGGGAAATCTCATTCAAGATTTACTGGTAGGAATTTATTCACTTTTCAAGTATTTGGCGTTCATTTGGCGTGAGTATGCTTTAAAGGCATTAGTATTTCTTGGATAAAATTTAATCACCCTAGTTCATTTTAGGTAATTTTTAAGGACTGATATGGAAGCCCTCCACATAATAACATTAATAGAGTCATCTCGATGCTTAGTTCCGCTTAGCCTTCCATCATGGACTACGGTTTCTAGTTATATTATTTTGGAAAAATCTTCACTAGCATGTGTTGGCTCTTTTTAAGCGATCTGGTGACCGTAAGGATTTCAAAGTCTTGTGACTTTTCTGTAAACAAAGGTAAGAAAAAGCACAAGCGCAACTCTGGCTGAATGCTAGCTACTCCAAATAGCAAAGTTTGTATCAGTTAATATCTTCAAATTAAATTTATTTGTGCAAATCGGTTGATCGCTTTATTCTCTCTTCTCCGATGGTCTCTCGTCTTCCCTTCGTCCGAGTCTAGTGTTCCGTGGTCAGGTGGTCTCGCGTGAAGTCCGCGGGGACACTGTCCGTCTGGAGGTTAGAGTTCAGGACGTCTGGCGAATCGAGGGTCTGGCCAGAGGCATGCTGCCGACCAGTCAGGCCTTGGCGAGTGAAGCGGCCGCCGCGTTACACTCCAATAACCTTGGCACCGGTACCAACGCGAGCGGTGGTGGAGCCGGTGGACTCAGCTACCCGATCTGGGCTCAGCTGCACGAGGAGACAATTACGAGCCCTGACGGTCTGCGAAGCCGCAAGTGCACATGTCCCCGGTTCGAGCTCGGCCAGTCGTATCTTTTCGTCACCAGATCTAATCACGTGCGTTTTTTGAGGTTCTAAGATAAGTCAATACATTAGTGATGTCCTATTCGGCTTTTTTAGAGACAAGAAAAACACTTGGATACCAATTGGTTCATATGATCAAAATTCTCAAACAAGCGCTTAGAATACTTTGACACTTCTGACTGTCTACTCGAACTTCTCCGTTCCTATGACAGATTTTTGGTAAACCCGGCTTTTCTTGAGGAACGGGATGTTTGAGAAATCGAGCCAAAGCTGGACGAAATAAAACACATCGCGGCATTGTAATATGTCATTGGTACCAAGCTATCTACATATTTTCTCATTTCCAAGATAAAATCTGTATCAGGCCCATCTTTGGGTTTTTTCCAATTTGTCATATTGTTTCCATTGTCCAATGGATGGAAGTATCCTTTCAATTGTAAAGTCATCGTGGCTGAAATGGGTGTCTATCTGTTACCTCCATGTGGTGCCACGTCAAGTATTGCATGACACCTGAATAGCTCCAGAAGCTAAGCTTGGAAAGGGATGTGAAATAATGAATGGAGTATTTTAGTTTCTTGTGTCATGTTTCACACAAGTCTCCTCACAATCAGCTTAACAATTTCAGTTGGCAGAGTTGCCACGGCTCATTTGGCGCAGAGAGTTTTCATAAATTGCCTACTCGGGGTTGGCTGGGGAGGCAGGCGAAAGCCGAATAAAATGGTCTCATCTGCTGGACAGCTCGACGAAAATGTGTTCGTCTTCTCGGTTCATGCCGTTTTTAGGCAGGTTTTGCAGGAAGCAGAGCGCTCCTATTCACCGGAGCCTGCTGACCTTTCATAGATGGACTGGAAGAAAATACAAGCTGAAAATTACTCAGAGAAAGGGCAGCGAAAGACTTTAACACAAATTTGGATAGAGATGACACTAGCCTGAGCCGAAACTGAAGCCCAGTGACACAAATGTTTCTCATCTGTATTCTTTCAGTTAATGAATACAAATTATTTTATGGTCCCTAGTCGACTGTCAAACGGAAGTAGGCAATTCATTATTTTAGCATAAAATTGGAGTTCTATCTTCGTTCGCTAAATAGACTGATATTATTTGCATATACATTCTACCTAAAGAAAGAGTCATATCCTTTTTAAGGAGTAAAAATTTTTAGTAGTAATTGTTGAAATCGAACAGACTGATACATATGAATTCCCAGTGGAGCAAAGAGGCCAAGTCAAGCTTGGACATGAATGGCACGTGTAGCGTTAGCACCAAAGTGTCTATAGAAAGGCAAAAAAATAATTACTAAAAATGGATTCATAAGAAAAAACATAAGAGAGTATTACATGAAATTTACCTACTCTGTACAAAAGCAAAAGATGTATTGTAATCCACAATCATGCACGCTTCTAAAAATAGAGCTATTATTCCCTCCCTCTGCCAGCCGTAAACTGGCGTAAATGTAGCCTTGAATTCAGTCGACGTATTCGTCGGCATCAGACAATGAACACATATATTCACAACTTAAAAATTTAATCAGCATCTTATGAAAAAAAAAATATTTTGGACGCATATTATTTTATCACAGCCCCTACATTCTCCCAACATATTAGCACAATAATAAATTATTTATTCGGTCAGTAACTTGACGCTCCTGCAAATTAATTTTGATATACCACTTTACATTAGAGGACACGGAGATGAATTGGCCACAAACTAAAAATTTTATATTTTACTTTTTATTCTGGATCAACACTTTATCTTTAGACTAAAGTTTGCAATAGCGCTCTTAGACCCATTTCAGCCACGATGACTTTACAATTGAAAGGATACCTCCATCCATTGGACAATGGAAACAATATGACAAATTGGAAAAAGCCCAAAGATACAGATTTTATCTTGGAAATGAGAAAATATGTAGATAGCTTGGTACCAATGACATATTACAATGCCG